GCGTGTCACTTGGGTTTCAGTAATTGACCAGTTGCTGAATCCCTCCCCACATGGCTACAACAGCTGTTGTGTAACTATTAGATTTCTTCACATGGTGAAGCTGTGTTCACAGGGCTGTATGCAGTAATTCATATGCAGCCTTGTTTTGTGTTTTCACTTTAGAAAACAAAGAATACAGTAAAAGTTTAAAAAATGATTACATTTCCTCTTTTTTCTGCGCTAAAATTCACCTTCAGCAGTTAAAATAGTAAGCTAACAAGCTTGCTAGCTTAGCATTAAAAATGCAATTACATGTGTCATTTTATATGATCTATCCTTTAAAAGAAACCAGTTGGAAATAATAAAAATCTACCAGAAAAACCATTCAAACCAATTCTTGGCAGTAACATGAGCTATATTGATATATTAGCCAATAAACATGTTTGCTTATTGCATTTCTTCTATTGGTCACATGCAACAAAAGATGCAGAAGTGCTTTTTGAGCTTTCTCAGACCGGAGTCCAAGTACCAAATTTGTTTTTTGCAGACCATTGTGTTTCTAAGACGTGGCCTCCACCAGTTTTGATTGGCTGTAATGGACAAAATATTGTAAAAAATTAAAAGTACAATAAATAGTTTACTCCTGCGAGCCTTGGTCTATTTTTTTTCTCAAGATTGGTGAAAATTGTGCCACCTGTGAACTGGATCCTAATAATATACCATCCTATAGTGCTGTAATCTCATTGTGGTCCAAGTAACACAATGACCCATCATCTTTTAAAAACATTTTTTTTCCCTGTCCACTTCCACGTTCTCATAGACTGGCAGAATGTGAAATTTCCAGCTTTTTCTCGTCTAAAATGAAAAAAATGGAGAAAAGTTAGAGGCACAATAGCACAATAGTAGCACGGCATAGAAGTTTATTGATTTCTTGCATCTTGTTACAGTAGATAATAATTTCTTTATATATTCTACATTGTTCTCGATAGTTTTTATTTCTTCCATAAATAGTGGCTTAACAGTGACCCAAAGACTAAAACAGAATCAGTTCTAGTTCTGACAAAAATATTGTTAATGATTTCATAGTTAAAGAATACAAAACCATAACATTTTGAATATACAATTTGTCATGATGTTAGCCAAGCACAGCCCATCCAACACAGTGTTTTGTAAATGCTTTAAGATGTGTTTCAAGAACACGATTGCACTGCAAAATCATCGGCTTGAACGAAACCCCGGATTATGCCTCTTCTGGTGTATGTCTCCATAATACATGAGATACAAATTGCACTAGTTTCCATGTGAATCACCAGGCAACAGAAACACTTCACTTTGAGTACATCTCTTACTTTGGGGATGTGTGTTGTGTCGTATCTAGGACCCCGTGCTACACGTTATACTTGTCAAACAGCTGTTGAAGTCCCCGAGAGACCAAACAACCACTTTAACTTGTCAAATGGCTCGAGACATCGTGAACAGCGTTTATCCATAATTACTTTCAGTCCATTCTTGTCTGGGTAATTCTGTGTATCCCTGAGCCACAACATTTTTTTTTT